TCAACAACTAAAATATATATGTGTGTGTGTGTGTGTGTGTGTGTGTGTRTATATATATAAAATTTATGTTCCCAGATGATAGTCAAGGGTCTAACTTGAAGCAGGGTATTTATTTATTTATTATTTTTGGGACTGGGATTGAATCCAGGGGTACCTCAGTTCCTTTTATTTTTACTATATCTCTAGTCCTTTTTATTTTTAAATTTTGAGACAGGGTCTCCCTAAGTTGCTGAGAGTCTTCCTGAGTTATTGAGGCTGGCTTGTGATCCTCCTGCCTCAACCTCCCAAGTTGCTGGTATTAGAGGCATGAGCTACCATGCCCAACTGGAAACAGACATTTTGAAGAATAGCAGTCAGGCCTGAAATGTTAATTTGCTTCTGTACTACACCTTAGCTTTTAACTTAGCTGAGCTACAGTGGACCAGGCCTAGAATATTTAGAGGAACCTCTGAATCAAAGGCCTTCTTGAGCCATTGGCTTTGCTTTCTGCATCAGAGTGGGGGATATGGTTTTTTTCCCTTGCAGAAGTAACTATCATGCCTTCAGGTAAAACCAAATGACATATTCCTCAAAGCTGCTTTCTGCAGTCATAACTCTGATAATCAGCCCTGGTCAAGAACAGTGAGGACCGGATACTCTTGGTGTACATAGCCATGGTGGTGTATACCTATGGAGATGCTTTATTGCTGTGAAGTGGGCTTTTCTCACCCAGCAGTCATAGATTCCCCTCTCTAATGGAGGAAGGTGAGCACATGGGCCATAGAGAGAATGAATGCCAGGTTAGGTTTGGACTTGTATCTGCATAACGAGCTCCTGGACATAACCATAGCAGCAGTATATATTTCTATTCTTCATTATCTGGGGATAGTCCTGAGGTTTACCTTTTTGTTTGTTTGTTTGCTATCCTGTGGATCAAACCTAGGGCTGTGCATACTAGGCAAGAGCTCTACTACTGAGCTACACCCCCAGCCTGCCTCCTTTTTGATGGACATGTCCATCTGCAGCAGTCACGGGTTTGCTTATCTTCTCTTATTCCTCATATGTGTCCCTTGTGCTAAGTGTTCTTTTGTGTGTGTGTGTGTGTGTGTGTGTGTGTGTGTGTGTGTCAGGGATTGAACCCAGGGGTGCTTAACCACTGAGCCACATCCCTAACCCATTTTATTTTATTTTTTATTTTGAGACAGGTTGCTTAGGGCCTTGCTAAGTTGCTGAGGCTGGCCTAAAATTTACAATCCTCCTGCCTCAGCCTCCAGAATTGCTGGGATTACAGGTGTGTGCCACCACGCCTGGCTTGGTGGGGCGTGTTCTGAGAGTTTTCTTTTTCATCTTATGCATCATCACTAGAACCAGGTTGGTCACTGTCTCTATCCTGGGGGCTGGACCTGTCCCTGCTCTTCTGATGCTCACAGTATGCTGGAGGAGGCAGCAAGGAAATAACAGTCCCAGTCCAGCATGATCCCTGTATCAGTGGTGGAGGGGAGCGTAATGAGGGGGGAGTCTGCCCCAGTAGTGGCAGGAGGTGGTACAGGCTGTGGGGGAAGTAGGAGTTGCTATATGGACCAGTGGCAGGGGCCCTTCCTGGTGGAAGCATGTGCTTGTACAGAGGCCTAGATGCATAGCATGTTCATTTCATTTATTGGATATTTGTTGACTCTAAGCCAGTGGGGAGACAGATGAACCCTGCTCTCCCAGAAGTGGCATTTTTGTTGGAGGAGATGGATGGACAAGAAAAAATATATATATGGTAAGTGGTGACAAAGGCTTGTCACAGCCTTTGGAGCAGCATCAGGTGGGGAAACGGTTGCTGTTCCCATGGAGTGAACACGGTCCTGCTGCAGGATCTGAAGGCAGTGTAGGAGCCTCTGGCAGAGACCTTTGCAGGCTGAAGGGGCACTAAGTGCACAGACTGTGCTGGGAGCATCTTTGGGGGTGGGAGGTGGACAGTGTTGTAGGACAGATCTCAAGACCTTCAGAGGTCTCACCAGGGGCTTTGGCATTTGTCCTGAGAGATATGGAGGCCAGGCTGATGGGCACTGATGTGCCACTTTAAAAGTGTCAACATGGGGGCTGGGATTGTGGCTCAGCGGTAGAGTGTTAGCCTAACACAGGCGGGACCCAGGTTTGATCCTCAGCACCACATAAAAATAAAGGCATTGTGTTGTGTCCATCTACACCTCAATAAAATAAAATAAAATAAAAATGTTATTTAAAAAAAAGTGTCAACATGGGGCTGGGGTGGTGGCTCAGAGGTGGAGCGCTCGCTTAGCACACCTGAGGCACTGGGTTCAATCCTCAGCACACATAAAAATAAAATAAAGATATTGTGTTCACCTATAACTTAAAAAAAAAAAAGTGTCAACATGGCTTCTGGGTAGAGAGTGGTCTTAGGACCATGGAGGGAGGAGGCTTCTGTGTTCGTCCCTTGGGGAGCTGAAGACAGCTGAGGTGGCTAGAACCAGGGAGCAACAGTGCAGCCAGTGAGCAATGGTCAGGCTCAGGGTCTCTCCTGGAAATAGAGCCCATAGGATTTGCAAAGGAAACAGAGGGCGAGAGCGTGGAAGAAGCACTAAGAGAGACTGGAAGCTGGAAGGCCACGAGCTGAGCATCTGGAAGAAGGGGGCTGGGTTTTCTCCATTGACTGGAGAGGGAACTGTGTTTCTGCACCTGGGGAACATCTGAAAAGACAGAGGAGGCGATTGGATATGGGGCTGTAGACTCGGGGAGGAGACAAAGCTGGAGCTACAAATGAGAGCATGCCTATGTAGGAGGCACTGAAAACCCTGGGACAGGAGTGCTCACCTGGGGGCCAGAAGGAGAAGCCTCCTGGGACGGGACGGAGCTGCCATGAGAGGCTGGGGAATACAGAGGACCCACAGAACCCCAGAAGGAGCAGTCAGTGTGAAGAGAGTGGCTTGCCAGCTGCTGCTGCAGATCAAGGGAGAGGAGGACAGTGGAATCAATACTGGATTTAGGACTGACAGCCCGAGGCCATCAGGGGTGGGTTTGTTTCTTTACCCAAGGGCACTTTACCACCTAGCCACATCTCCTTTTATTTTTATTTTTCAATATTTTTTAGTTGTAGTTGGACATGATACCCTCATTTCATTCATCCATTTTTATGTGGTGCTGAGGATCGAACCCAGGGTCCTGCACATTCGAGGTTAGCGCTCTACCGCTGAGCCCCAGCCCCAGCCCCGCTTTATTTTTTATTTTGAGGCAGGGTGTCACTAAGTTGCTGAGGCTGATCTTGAATTTGTGATCCTTCCACCTCAGCCTCTCAAGTCACTGGGATTACAGCGTCCATCACAGTACCTGGCCTATCAGTGTTGCACAAGTGATAAGTTCAGGTCACATAGAAAGTGCATGGGAGACCTGGTAGATTAATCCTAGTTAGGCCTCCCACTTGCTGTGTGACTTCAGCATATCACTTACCGTCTCTGGGCCACACTTATGATTTCCCCATCTTCCAAAGGCACTGCTCATCCTAACTTGGTAAATAGATTGCTCCACAAGATGGAGCTCTTAGTTTGTTTACAATGTCTGCCTTGAACAAACATTTGTCAAATTTGCCCTAAGAACATATAAAAGGGGCATATTTTATAGCCTGAGTTTGGGATAGTTTTGTATGTCATTCTAACTGACTCATCCATTCACTTGGAAGACACTGTGCTGGGGGGCTCAGGGCACAGTGATGAGCAGCTCCTGAGACCATCCTCATGACCTGGTGAAATACGCTGCCTGGCAGGTGACAGCACCACACGAGTGCTCATAAGGTAGAAGTGCTAAAAAGGAATCAGGGGAAAATAAGGAAGGAATCAGTACAGGGTGATAGAGTGTGCCCTAGGAGGCAGCCCAGAGGAGGTCCTAAGGGCTGCAATGGCCAAGCTGGAGCCAATATGGTAAATCAGATGGGGGCTAGGAAGAGCGTCCTGGACCTCAGCCACAGCGTGTGCCAAGGCCTTGGAATGGCAAGATGGGTGCACTGTAGGACGGAGAGGTGGGTGAGTGGTTCCCGGGATCTTTGTCCTGAGAGTCATGCAGAGTCATGCAGGGGTGGTAAGCAGGAGAGTGATGAGGTAAGATCCGCATTTTGGAAAAATCTATCTGTAGTAAGCATAGCTTGAGAAGGACCAAAGTGGAAGTGGGCAGATCCCGAGAGGTTCTGGAGTTGTCCAGGAGGAAGGTGGGGTGGTGTTGAGGGAGGCAGTAGTAGAGAAGTAAATGTATTTGAGAAAGACTTTGGGGTTAAAATGAGCCAGGCCTTGGGACAGACTCAGTGGGGGAGTGAGTCGAGGGAAGCTGGAGTTCCTCATTCTGCCCTGCTCCCTGGAGGAAGCACGGGCACCACTGTCCTTCAGGACAGGGATGCTTGAAGAGGATGGGGCTTTGGGAAAATGCAGCCTTGTCAAGCTGGGAAACGGGCACTCTGGGGGTATCGGGCAGCAATTAGACATGGTTTGAGGGATAATTGGCCAAATAGACTAGCAGAAGCTGTGGGCTGGGGAGACTTCTGGAGCGTGCAGGGAGGAGCCAATGGCCTGCTTGGGATTGTAGTTGAAGATGCCCCAACCCTGCTTGCCCTGTGCTCCCTCTCTTCTCCCACTTGCCAGTTTAGCCTTGCTCCCCTCTGCTCCCTTGTACCCTCTACAGGGATTGCTCCTTGCCCACAGGCAGCAGTACCCCTTGTCTAGGATTTGCTGGCCTCCTCTCCTCCTCTTGGAGGGTGTGATAGGGGACTCAGGCCACTCTGCCCCTCTCCCTGGAGGAGCCTGTTTATTCTCAGTTCACACCTCAGCATCTGCCCCCCTGCCAGGAATGCCCTTACCTTCCCTGTTTGCTTGGCAATCTCCTGCTTATTTTTCAAGAACTGATCGGCAGTTGCCCAAGCCCATTTTACGAGGTCAGGACTGTGTCCAGGCAACCTTTCTGTCTCCATACCCTGTGGCCTAGAGGGCTCTTTGCTGCTGGCTGACTAAATCAGACCACTCTGCTCTTCTCAGTTTATTCCCAGCACCGACCCTTTCCAGAAGGCCCTGAGGGAAGAAGAGAAACGAAGGAAGAAAGAAGAGAAGCGGAAAGAGATCCGAAAAGGCCCAAGGATCTCCCGATCCCAGTCTGAGTTGTAACCCTGGAGCAGCGCAGGGATCAAGGGGCCAGCAGGAGGCCTCTCAARAGGACGGGGAGGCAGCTACGTGGCTTGGCAGCCTCCACCATGGTGATGAGCACCGGTCCCTTCCAGATGGCGACACCAAGTTTACTGGGTCCTCAGGAGCTGAAGGGACTATACATCAGGGGGCTGAATTTTCTCCCAGGACCTCTAGAGAGGGTGTCCAGGAGGCCTTTAGAGAACACTGTGGAGACTGCCGGGGAGGCAGGAGGGCCTCCTGGCTGGACTCTTGGTAGGCGAAGGTCCTGGCTGGCTGGCTGCTGCAGTCTGCAGGGAAGCATCAAAACCAGGCTCTGAATCACTGGAAAAGGTGTGATGCCTATTTCTTGTCCCATTGTGTCCCAGCCCAGGTCCCAGCTCCTCTCCAGAGACACAATAAAAGCCAGAAAATTCACTGGACCCACTGAGGCTGGTGAGGGGACTGTGAGGAATCAGGGGCCCTCAGGGATGTCGAGGCCAGCTTAGAGGATGTTCCCACCTCATCAAGAAGAGTCTCACGCCTGATGGAGCAAAGAAGCAGAGGCTTGGCTCAGGCTTCCTGTGCCATCCTCAGCACTGCCCTTGATGAGAGTTCATTGTCAGAAGGGGAACTGGAAGAGAGAGAGTATTTGATCCAAGGAGATCTGGGAGCAATATGATCTCTGTATTCAGATAACCTAGGGACGGTCATTGAGCGGATGCTGGGAATAATCCATGTGCTGTCTCTGGCCATGCTGGAGGACCTGCAGCCTGTGGGTGGGGGCTGTAGGGCACCAGCAGGAGGCTGCTTTACAGTGATCCAGTTTGGTAGGAGTGCAAACTCTCCATCTCAGGAGGTGTGCAAGCAAGTTCCCTTGGCCACAGGGCAGAGGCGCTGCAGAGGGAGTTAGGCCCTGAATGGCCCTCCTGCTTTCTCTGGCCCCCAGTGGAGATGGCTGCCCTTTACTCCACTCCTGCCCCTCCCAAGCACAAAAGGGAGGGGAATTCTACCCCTGCCTCTTTGACCTGGCCGAGCTGGGGTCTGCCTCTTACTGGGGCAGAGACACACAACCATCATCAAAGCCCCCCACATCTGGCCTTATCGCTGATAGCATCCAAGCAAAACTTGAATCAGCCATCAGACTTACTGATCCTGGCCTACTCTTTCCCTTCCCTGTGCTTCAATGGCAAAATGAGTATGTTGATATCAGAACCCTCTGTCCTGCCCTGACCTGCTTCCTTGAGGCAGGACTCCCTCCTGGACAGGGCAGTAAAGGGAAGCTAAACCTTAAGTAGGTCCCAAGGGTGGGCCCAGAGTATCCTGTAATCAATCAGAAAAGAAGAGGATAAGAAGTAGCAGGAGCTGGAGGTATGATGGAGAAGTCTTTCCATCCGAACTTTCCTACCAGCTACCTGCTCCCCATCACGGGCTTGACATCAGAACGTGGGTGCTCCATCCCCAGCTCTGCCCCCCACCCCCAGCTATCTTTGAGGATTACAGCAGATGGTGATTGCTGGAGTTTGTGAACTAGAGGACTAGAGAAAGTGTGGGACCCCATGATCAGCTGTTCACCCTGTCCTGGTGCAGCCCCAGGTTCTTCCTGTCCTCTTGCTGAGAGGCGGTGGTTGCTGATTTGCATGGAAGACTTTTTTGGGAATCAGGCCTGCCTGGCTATTGACCTAGCCTTTTCAGGTCCATAGGGGTGGTCCTACCTCAGGACAGTGCAAAGGTAGTTCCAGCTTTGGCTGGGGGTCCTACCAAGTGACTTCTAGGGTCTCTGTCATCAGCAGGACTTTTTATAATTTGAAGCAGAACTTAGCAACTGCAGAGTGATGAGGCAGCCCAGTATGCTGGGAAGGCCTGAGCACCTTGGAACTAGCCTTGGGCTCTGTCCCTTGCCAACCATTGTCTTCAGAACCAGGCCCTTCTCTCAGGTCCTTGGGTCCCCTATCTCAGAATGCTCCAGGGATTGGGAGGAAAGCTGTAGAAAAAGCAGAAGGTGGTTGGAAATTTAACTGACTTCTTAGTGACATGTGCCCTTCTCTGATGGTTCTTTATCACATTGATTTGCTGCGCACTTACTCCATGGAGGGCATAAGGAAGGGGCCTAATTTTATCTCTCTTTACATCTGCCCCATCTGGTATCTCCTTCCTCTCGGACTCTGGACTCTTCCCTCTTCTCCTCTTGGGGAATCCCATCTTTTACCTCAAATGGGCCCAAGGTGTCCCATCTGCCTTCCAAAAAAAAAAAAAAAAAGAAAAAAATATTTTATATATATATATATATATCTCCACTCCTATTTGCCCCTTCTCTCAGCGTTTTGTGCCATTTTTGACTGTTATGGCCACTTGTTCTGGGAACTCAACTTTCTGGGACTTATGCAGGCAGAGAGACTCCCCCCAGCTATAAAGTCCCAGGGCACTTTTTTATCCAGCCTTTCCCAGGAGCTGGGATTCACTTACCTGGACTTGCACCAACTGGATGCACCCAGCTGGTGTGGGATTCCTACTGGTGGCTGCAGGTACCAGGGACATCAGTGTGTGTGTGGGGGGGGGTGTGGGGGTGTAGTGGAGGGGGAACTGTTGCTAGCCAGTCCAGTGACCAGTGTCAGGAGTGCCCAATGGTGGCAACAGTAATATGGTGTAGTCTGCTGAGCTTCCATGCCCTGTTTGTGGCACCCCTGGAGAGGCTGAGAGCCCCCTAACATCTTTCAAGGCAGGATTTCTCAGCAGTGGCACTATTAAAATTTGGCGCCAGGTGATTCTTGGTTGTGTGTGGTGGGGGAGCGCTGTCCTGAGTGTGAGGGTTATTTAGCAGCATCCATCCCTGGCCTCTGCCTACCATGTACCAGCGGCAGTCCCTCAGTTAGGAAACTGAAAATGTCTCCAGGCATCACCAGATCTCCCCATGGGGAGCAGAACCTCCCTGGTCTACAGCCCCTCTCGCTGTCCCCATCATCCTCGGCCCTCCCCAGTCATTGCCCTCAGAGGGAGACACTGGATGGCTGCCATTTCTTGAGGCGATCCTCCTGGGCTGCTTGTCCTGTGCTTTGCCCTTGGTCTGAGCCTGCACTGTCTCTTCCTGGCTCCTCTTTCTTACTTGATCCTTTAAATGAAGGATTTTTTTTGGTTTAGCGCTCTCTGCTTCTTGGGCAAACACACCCTCTAAGACCTCAAAGTTGATGGCACCTTCTCTGTCACCATCTGATAATCCTCATTGCTTATGTTTGAGTTTGTCCTAAGCCAAACTTGTTTCCCACCTTCTAACCCCACCTCTATGTCAAATTCTTGGTTGATCCTGCTGGAAGGCCTCATGGAAGAAGTGATATTTGAACTAAGGAGCGGAGAACAGGTACTAGGAGCAAACGCCTGAAAGGGCAGGCATCAAGAGAGAGTAAATGGCAAGGAATATGCCTGGTTCCCTACCGTGACCTGTGGCAGGTGCCTATCCAGGATAAATATCTCAACATAGTGGTCACCTAGTCCAGCCCCTCTGTTTTCAGGTGAAGAACACAGTTCCTGAAGAGTAACTTGTCAAAAGCTGCTTCACCCCTCAGAGCCAGCCTCTGACCTCCCAGCCAGAGCAGGGTCAGGGGAGCACGGCAGGATTTTGCTGGGATCTGGGTCTAGTGCAGCCAGTCTTCTTTGACCACTTGTACTGGAGCGTTTATTTGGGTTTCCTCAGACTTGGTCAAGYACCAGATCCTCTGGGCAGGTCCCACTGGGAGAGCTACAGAGTGACAGTGCTTTGCCCACCTTCCTGACCTGTTGCTTAAGGCAGCCCTTGGGGAATTACTGAGGTGCTGGGGCAGAGGACACTAGAACAAAGCATATTTTATGAGGGTCTTTACCATGTCAGTTTAGCAGACAACAACCATCAGTTTGCCAGCTACAGTGGCACATGCCTGTAATCCCAGAGGCTGAGGCAGTATGATCACAAGCTGGAGGTCAGCCTGGGCAATTTAATGAGACCCTGTCTCAAAATTAAAAAGATCTGGGGATATAGTTGAGTGGTAGAGCACTGCTGGGCTCAATCCCCAGAACTGCAGAAACCAAAAACCATCCCTGTGAGGAGCCCCAGCAGCACCACTGAGAAGTACTACTGAAGATGGCACCATCCAGCTCAATGCCAGATCCAGAGCAGGGCAGCTGGGTTTGGGTCAGCTTTCTATTTCTGTGTGTAAACAATAAAAGAGAGCATTCTTGTTTTATTTACCCCCCAAATAAGACACTACTTATTTCTCAATAATTATGCATGTTCATCATCAAAAGTAATTTAGACAATACAAAAAATACCAGGAAGAAAGTAAGACTCACCCCAGATCCCCCCACTCAGCCAGCTGTTGGCCTTATTTTTTCAATTACAGTTGCTACCTTGTATGAGAGCTTGCTATATGCCAGGACTTACCACATGTGCTGTCTGGCAGCAGCTCCTCCAGCCTCAAGTGTTTGTCCATGTCTGTTCCCCCTGGGTATACCAGAGGCAGAGCTGGCCTCTCAATTTTAAGTTTTGTCTTAAATACCACTTAAGAATTTGGTGTGTATTTTTCTTTCCAGTGTTAAGGATGGAACTCAGGGCCTCATGCAGGCTAGGCAAATGCTCTACCACTGAGCCACACCACCAGCCAGTCTTCTTGACATTGAAAGTTATGTCCCATCACTTTTCCTTCATCATTTGTACTACCATCATCTATTATTGTTTACTGCCTTTTCTTTTTCTTCACTAGACTGGAAGCTCTTAGCAGGAACTATTTGCCTGCCAGAGATAATCAATAAATGTTGTCAAAAGAATGTGCAAATTATTTTCACAACTATAAGTACTATTTTAGCCCCATTTTAGAGATGACAAAACTGAGGCTTAGACAATTATTTAACCAGCTAAAGTTCAGGTAGTGAATTAGCAGATCCACGCATCTGACTTCATAGCCTGGTGCTCTTAAGTCCTGACCCCTAAGCAGCAGCTGCCTCTTACTTTCCCTTCAGTAGATTATGAAAGCCTTTTCTTTTCAATAAATACACATTGATTTTTATAACACCATGATACTGTGATTTATCCAATGTCTTACTGGGTTTCATAATACTTTCCAGTTATAGAGAAGCTTGTGGTGAACCTCTAGGAACATACACATTTATTTCAGCATCCTTTGGGCACTTTTATTCCTTAGGATGAGTTCTTGGAAGTTTGCACCTTTGTGTACACGTGGCCAGCTGCAAGATGGGACAGCGAGGTGCCTGCAGGAGTGGGAATCCGTGGAGGCTGGTGGGGCACTGGGTACTGATATTGTTTAAAGGCCTTCAGTGTTAAGGTACCTGGGATTAAGGACCAGTAGCACCAGTGCGAGGTCACAGCAGGCGCAGAGGCACCCAAGTTGTAGTGTTAACTGCTCTTGGACAGTCTGCGGCCCTGCCAAGCCAGCATTTCTGCCTTTTAAAGAGGGGTGGGAAAAGCATGACTTGGAAGATCTTGACTCTGTCCCACAGCGTTGGGGGCTAAAATTTCATTCCTCAGGCTCTCCCAGGAGGGACTGGGCAGGGCAGGACAGGGCAGGGCGTGGGTAGAGGAGAGGCAGCTGGGAAGATGACGTAATGTGCTCACAGCCTGCGCTTGTGGCGGCCGGCGGTCGCGACTGGACCTGTGAACGTTAACCCTTTAATCCCAGGCGGGTAGACGCACCTGCTAGAAGAACAGATCCGGGAAGAAAGGGAGAGGCTCCTTTAAGCAAGGGGAAGGAGGTTGGGCGGAGGACCCGGCGGCTACTCTCTTTATTGGCTCTAAGGCCGCGAGGGGCGGAGCCTACCTATGCTAATCTGAGCTGCTGATCGATGACGTGCCATCACCCCACGCGCCGCTTCGCGCGCCCGTTGGCTAAGAGGAGCCTGGCCCCATTGACAACAAACAAGGGGGTGCGCGGCCCGGGGGCGGAGCCACGAGGGCGCGGGCAGGGGCGGGGGGTTCCCGCCCCGCCCCTTCCGCGCGGTGCCGGGGCGCAGCACAAACATGGCGGCGGCTGGCACGGGCCGGTGAGGCGGTACCGGGCGGGGGCTGTCGGGTGTCATGGGCGGTGGCAGCAGCACCGCCCCCGCGTCTCCCTGAGCGGGACGGCAGGGGGGCCTCTGCGCCAAGCCGGGCGATGGACGAGAGTGGCGAGCTGGGCGGCCTGGAGACCATGGAGACCCTCACGGAGCTGGGCGACGAGCTGACCCTGGGGGACATCGACGGTGAGTGGTGAGTGGGTGGGTGGGGGGAATAGGGGGATCGCGCGGGGAGGAAGGGGTTACGGCGGCGCGCGGGTGCGCGTGCGCCCACCCCACAGCCCCGGCTCGCGCGGGAAGAACCCTGCGTGCCCCGTGGCCCCAGCGGTTCCCAACCCTTCCTGCACGACGGGTGTGAGCCCCGGGGTCGGGRCGCTCGGTTCCGGGAGGCGGTGGAATCCCGAGAGCTGGGCCCGAAGCGGATCGAGGAGCGTGGGGACGGGGGCGTCTCGGGGAGCGGCATCTGAGGAGAGCGTGGGGCCACCGCCTTCCTCTCGCGCCCACGCGCGCTGTGGGTCGTCTGGCTCTCTGCGGCTCCGCGTCGCACCTGTCACTCCCAGCCCGACCACAGGAGGGGCTACGGATTCCTCGGACTGCGCCCCTGAAGTTGGCGTTCTAAACTCCTGGTTTTCTGGGAATTAACAGACGGCTGGGTCGTCGGGCGCTCCGGGAAACTTTGGGCATCAGCTGCCGAAGCAAGTTGCTGATGAAGCGAGCAGTGGCGGCGGAGCGTGGACGCCTCTCTCCAGGGAGGGAGACCCGGGCGCTCGTGCTGTTGCGCTGCAAAGGGAGTTAAGCAGCAGGAATTCTGAGTTGTGACCTCTCGGGTACAAGCTGGGAGAGGGTGGCCGTGGTTCTGTCGGCTTTAACAGCGGAGTGGAAGAGCTGGTAGGAGCCCAGGAAGCCGCTCTTGCAATGTTCTCATTTTTCGACCATGGGAACCGATGTTTGGAGAGGGTCCACGACTTGCCCAGGGTCACCCTGCTAGTTACAGAATCCAGTTCTCCCAGTTCCTGAGCTGTTGGTCTCTTGACATTCTACCTTTGGGGATTTGGAATTCAAAGAATAGGCTACTAATCTTAATGACTTTCAAGAATGGAGCTCTTCCCATGTTCTAGGCCCCAAATATTTTGCAT